TTGTTGTGTCTCTGACTGTGTTTTGATATACGTCATTTTGTTCTGGACGTGACCATGTCTTGAGACATGTTTCTCATCTGATGATTCAGATTGAGAAGCTAAAGGTCTGGTGAAGATTACTAGAACAGAAGTTAGTGTAGCCCTTTGTTCTTCTGTAAAAATCGTCCTTTGAAAGAGATCCAACTCGACTCGAGCTGTTTGTTGTCCATGTTGCAATGCTGACACACCATATCCCTTCCTAATAGAGGAGCCTGTACAGGGGTTGTTGGTTTGTGTGCTTGTGGGGGAGAGATTTGACGAGGGCAGATCAGTCGAACACACAATTGGCGAATCCGGGTGTTTACAACGAAAGGAGCGTAGTTATCAGTGAGGCAAGAAAAAGAATAGTTAGGTACTCCTACAAGAGGCCCATGGAAAACAATTCTCCCAGCTGAGTTGTATCATTTCGCAATTTGATTGGGGATATGGTTATGACTATGGTATGCATCTGGCTGCAATGCCGATCTGGTTCGCTCCAGCCGCATGTGGATAATGGGCTCGCTTCTCGCCCAATCTGAGCAGTTTTCTGGTCGACTACTGTATGTAGGCAATCGGACCCCCGCGTATTAGTGCCTATCCAGAAGCTGGTTGGCTGGTTGGTTGTCATTGAACCGCTCCCATTGTCATGTATGATGGAACAGCTGCAGCGAGAGGCTGTGCTCGAAAGAAGTCGAGATTGGAGAGGATAGCGGTGAGGGCAATTGAGCCGAGGAATGCGCACACCAGAGCTGGAACTTTTGCAGATACGTCGTTTTGGTGTTTGTTGGTGGTACCTGAAGTCTGGCGATGATAAGACAAAAACATTCGAGTCACTCGCTACACGGCCATTGTGCGGCAGAGATATAATAGTTATGGCTGCATTTGATCGCTGGAATTGAGAATATGGGTCCTCAACTGACAAATTTGACAGGACAAAGCCGTTGACTCGTGGATAGAAATGACGTAGAGACTGGGTGCCACGTGAAGCCCTCTTGGCCCGTTAGCGCATGTCGTCAGCGGACCTGAGGCTCCTGGAAAGACCGTGCGTTCTGGTTTCAGCGGGGTTGGTTAGCGGATTTCCAGTGGACTGGGCCTTGAAGAGGCGCCTGAAGCGACTAGGGGGGATATGGCTGGGTGAGTGAATGACCTCTGGTGTTTGATATCACGGATGTATGGACGATGTCTACAGACCTCTAATAAAAGAACGTTGAAATGGGTTTGCTCGTTTACATTGTGCCGGTTCACGTTGAGTGACTGTAGGTTAATTACATCGAGTATGATTATTAGCTCTTTGTTGACGCTTGCTGCCTAATATATTTGACTCATTAGATACTTAGAATTGCCATTGTCATTGTTTGCTGACTCCGTTACTGTTATATCAACCATCTATCGCCGGATGCCGCCGCTCAACGTCGGGTTTACTCATTCTGTGTCTCTTCCTTCAGCTCTCAACTCCAGGCTCATGATCAGTCATTCTACCTCAACTCTACCTCTCAAAAATACGCTTCTGCATTATCGACAGTCGATGCCCTAACTTCTGCGCCCGAGATTCCCTTGTCTACACGCCCCTAGGCATGAAATTCAAATAAGCATCCTTCACAATAAGAAAGACTTGAGCTACCGACACACCACGACCAAGAACCCACGACCCTCTTTTCTTTTGCGCCGATCTTTTTTACCCTTTCCTCTCTTTCAACCACATCGACTTCTTTTCTTCTTTCCTCTCTCGCTTTTTTGCTTCTTCCCTTCTTTTTCGTGCGCCTCGGGTTTCTTTCTTTCCCCTTTCATTCTCTCCGTCCTTTCTAACGGGAGGTTCTAAACCCCCCCCCTTTGGCAAACGACGCGACCATCACCAATAATCATGTCGTCGCTCGAGGCCAAGATCGTCGTCCTCGGCGCCCAGGGCGTTGGAAAGACGTCTCTGGTTATGAGATACTGCAAAGGCGCATTCAACCCGGCTCAGATCACTTCTACTGTTGGCGCCAGCTTTCTCACAAAGCGCGTCGTTGACTCTGACTCGGATACCGTTGTGCGCCTTCAGATATGGGATACAGGTTGGTCTTGATAAGGAGCCAAACAAGTTGATAATCTCTTATATGCTAATGTCAACTCGCAGCCGGCCAAGAACGCTTTCGTTCTATCTCCCGCCTGTACTATCGCGGCGCAAATGCCTGCATCCTCTGCTACAGCATCACAGACGCACAGTCATTTGCCGATATGGGCGTATGGCTCATGGAACTTCGACGAAACCTCCCCCACGATGTCGTTCTTCACGTAGTCGGTACAAAAGCCGACATTGTCGCCCGCGATCCCTCAACCCGCCAGGTCCCATTCGAACGTTGTATCGCATACGTCGCTGAAAACCTTGCCCCAGGCATGGGCAGCACGCCGCCTCCGACCGCAACCCCTTACCACGTACCGACGCCTATGTCAGGCGGTCAAGCAATGTCTCCTCCGTCTATGGAGCCTCGGAGCCCCAGCTCGAAGCGTAGCTCTGGTTTCTGGGCACAGGAAGTTGGTTGGGACGCTTGTCACGAAATCAGCGCCGAAACAGGAGAGGGTGTTGAGGAAGTCTTTCGTGTTGTCACACGCAAGCTTGTTGAGCAGAACCGCAAGATGCAGCAGGCCCTTCTAATGGCTACTGCCATCCCTGGTACGCCAGGTTACGAATCCGGCATGGACGGAGGCTATTTTGCGGGTGCAGACGCACGAGGGAGTTTCCGAGTAGGCCGCGATCGTCGCAGTTGGCTCTTCTCACCAGGTTTCTCGCCCGCCGTTACGGTCGAGCAGGCGGGAACTCAGGAGCAGACACAAACAGACGGCTGGGATCGAAAAGAACGCAAGAAGTGCTGTTGATTTTCTTGATTGCCAATATTAAACTAGACGAACGAAGACGATATGATGGAAAGAGATGTAGACGTTGTATGGACATACGAGATGAGGTCATGTCTACAACGAATTCCCCACGGCAACGACGGAAGAGGAGCTTTAGGATGGTTTCGACGACTGAGCGCATATGTTTGATACCCGGTCTTTTTTCGAGTTTCTTATTTTTGTTTTATAGGTCATGTATTGCGGGTTGGTTCACAGTCGGGGTGTTTTCGTCTTTGATACTGGTAGCCTGGTCTCGGCCCATTCACTATTTCTGTGAGCAATGCATAGTTTCTTTCCTCCTTTCTCTTCTTTCAATTCATGCATGGTGCATCAGGCGGGTCTTCTTTTTGTTCTACTGTTTCTCGATTGGGAGTTGGACGAGAGGGTCATGAGAGGTAGATTCTTCCCTTTTTTTACTCAAAACATACTATGCATTATTATTTTGTTCAAATCTATCTGTCGACATCCCCGTATCTCATATTCATAGCTACCTCAACTCTCTGTGTATTTGCAGACTGATATGATTTCCACCTGCTGGGTTGTAGTGAGAGTAGCTAAGTTGGCAGCATCCGGAGAACCCCACCCCCACCTGTTCCGGTCGGAGGTCGGATGTGTCCCCCGCATCCTCCCGTTATCCGCCGTCCCGCACCCGGGGCTATGGAATTGAAAACTGCCGCCAGCACCAACTGAGTTACCTTTCTACTACTCTCTTGACACTTTCTTAAGCAGCTAAGCCTCCACTCTTTCTCTCTCTTCTCCCCACATCACCACTTGCTGGCCTCAACCTCGAAACAATGGCCCACCCTCAAGGAAACCTCGCAAACCTTCTCCCTCCTTCGTGGAAAACCTCGGTAACCGCTTGGCTAGCTGAGGATACGCCTTCGTTCGACTACGCCGGCTTCGTTGTCGGTGACGGCCCCCGCGTCGCTACCCTCTGGGGTAAATCCAGCGGCATCATCGCCGGCCGACCCTTCTTCGACGAGGTCTTTACGCAGTGCGGCTGCACCGTCGAGTGGCATGCTGAAGAGGGAACCGCTGTTGACCTGAGCAATGGCAAGCATCGAGTCGCAACAGTCAAGGGTCCTGTTCGTGGGATTCTCCTTGGTGAGCGCGTTGCTCTGAACACCCTCGCACGATGCTCTGGCGTCGCTACCAAGAGCCAGCGACTTGTATCGATTGCGCGTGAGGCGGGGTACACAGGCGTGATTGCAGGAACACGAAAGACAACACCAGGATTCCGCCTCGTTGAGAAGTACGGCATGCTAGTCGGTGGCGCGGATGCCCACAGAATGGATCTCAGCGCCATGATCATGCTCAAGGATAACCACGTCTGGAGCCGAGGCAGTATCACCGATGCTGTCAAGGCTGCCAAGTCGGTCGGTGGCTTCAGTATGAAGGTAGAGGTTGAAGTTCAGAGCGAGGCTGAGGCTGACGAGGCCATTGAGGCTGGCGCGGATGTGGTTATGTTGGATAACTTCACTGGTGATGGTGTCAAGGTTGCTTCAAGAAGTCTCAAGGAGCGATGGCAAGGGAAGAGGCACTTCCTGCTTGAGACATCTGGTGGACTTCAGGAGGATAACTTTGAGGCCTACTTGTGTAATGGTGAGTACTTGGAAGGCATTCTGGTGAGCATGTTGATACTAACAAATTATAGATGTCGATATTTTGTCAACAAGTTCGATTCATCAGGGTGTGCCACACATCGACTTCTCACTCAAGATCGAGCACTAAGTCAAGATAATAAAAGTAAATTGATATTCACGAAAACTAAGAATCCGATCTGCTGGTAACTCGAAGTCGAGTGTTGATCTTTCTAGACTTCCATAGGTCACATGAACAATTTCATAATCTTTATCTGCCTAGGAAGTATCTCTATCATCGATATGCGCATCACCCAACCTCTCTTCCATGTTTGGTCCTCTACACCGACGGTGACTCAAACGATCTTGCAAAGACAACTACTTCTCCTGCTCAGGGGTTTGGGGCGGTCAGAATACGACAAAATCACGCTGCTTAGATTCCTCGTCGATAGAACATCTAGAGCAGGGTTGGGGGCGAAGATGGATCTGCTCATCGACAGGTCTATGCCTTTCTTAGCAATCTCATATTCAAGCGTCAGGGCTACCAAGCACAAACATAGCAGGCCAGTCCTCAACTCTTGTGTTATGTGTAAGGCCAAACAACACCCACATAACAGGACTGCTTCTTCTCCCTTGCTTCCGATCTTCAATCTCATCAGTCGTCTTTGGCTTTCCTTGTTCATCTGTGAGCCGGTCCCCTCTCTTGACCATATCAGAGACACCACCAACTTCTGCCTTGCTCTGGTTCGTGAACTCGTCCGCTGCCCATAGTTCCCCATCAGATACCCTGTGAACCAAACACTGTGTTCCCCAAAGTGGCTCTTGCAACAGCCACACTATTCTCATCCGCAGGATCATCTGGGTTGCCGGCGGTAGAAGTCTGTAACCTACCGGTAGACCAGATATAGCATTCAGCTTCGTGGCATGCTCCAAATTGATGAGGCGGTTCAACGTGGTTCATTGTCTATCCAAGACGCTTTTGTCACTATCTTGCACTCTAATTCATGCAAGTTCCCCTTGGGATTGGTCTTTGGGTCAATACGTCTTCCAACACTTTCTTCCACAATAATCTGTGTATCTTGAGGTCTATAATAGTCGACGGCTAGGTCAATCCGGACTGATAAAAGATGCTGGTGATTCTGTGCGAGAACTCCCACTGCAACGACATTACCATATCGACTTGTCTTGCCCTCATCTATCACAACAACGCTAACAGCTCCAATCGAGCAGGTCTCATTAGTGATGTTGTCAGCAAGATCAAGTTTGTATGCAAGGGCATATTCTTAGTTCGCAAGAGTGACTATGAATTGCACGACAAGCTCTCTCATGCGTGCCACAACGGATCTGTTAGTGCGGAAGTTTGTGTGCTTCCACAGAATGCCGTTGTCTTCCTCGTGGAGACAAACAACTACCTGGGCAGGTGTTGGCAGGTCATCTGAGCCAGAGAGATATGAGTCAACATGGTGAATTGCCCAAAGACAGTCACACCCTAGCTCAAGGTTGTTTACAGCCCTTCCAAGAAAAAAACCCATCCCTAAGCTCAAAGGCATGCTTGCAGTGGAAAGGGGACTGGGGATCATCATAGGGGTGTGTGAGCTCGCTATAGCTGAGGCGATACAGAATGGGTCGGTTCTCATAGCAGACATCTTGAAGAACAGCCTCTTCTCGTGGAATGGATTGAAGGCAAGACGGAAGCGCCATTTCTGGCACTCCAACAAGCCATCCTTGGAGATGGTGAAAGAAGCTCTCAGGATGCGTTCTCTTGAGACTTCAGATCCTCTCGGAGGGATCTGTCCAGTAGTTATGGACATACCCTGCCGCATGGCTGTGTTGGAAAAGGTTTCTTGGCTTGTTGTCCCTTTCCCTGGGCTCAAGGCCATCATCTGAACCGCCGGTCGCAGGTCGATCAAGCGAACAACAGTCTTTGTTTCCATGTCCATGACAGGGATTATGAGGATGGAGTTAGAATGGAACGAGATCATTCTTCTTGGGCTCTTGAAGGTATATACCGAAAGCAGAGAAATATTCTTGTGCCATAATGTTTCAGCACAGCGTTCCGAGCGATAAGAAACTAAGAAGATGGAGCTTTGGATATGCCTGCTAGGATCAAGAAGATGGCAGATGTCCGTCCCTACCACTTAAATGTATAGTCATAGCAAAACAATACCAGTATATTGAAGATGCTTCTAAAATTCTGGTGATATGTATGCCCGGTCTGGGTTTGTGCTGCCCATGGCCTTGCCTTGCTGCATGAAGGTCTTGTGATATACCTAATGGTTGGGTTCCGCTTGAGCATGTCTGGCACCTGGCTACGTCGGTGTTCTCAGGCTCGGTGACTTGCATCTATGGCCTCGGACACGGTATGGCTACAACGCGGACCAAGGCCTGGTAGCTGCGCTATCTCTCGAACTACTAGGTACTCCGTAACTTCTATACATATACTACAGGTCTGGTACATGCGAGAGCATAATGAGTACTGTCAAAAACCCAGGAAGCAAATTAATTAGTTGTTAAAGCCTAAGGGCATACTTAGTTAGACGTGACTTCACCTTGAAAGTTGTCACAGTATCATGGCAATTATTGAATCCAATGGGAACATCTTGGCAGAATCTTCGTGCCATTCGTGTCTATCGACGTGCAACTGTCTGCAGAGGCATTCATCAAACACCCTTTTGTGAAACCCCAAAACGGCCGTGGATAAGAGTCGATTCATTCGTGACTCGCTACCAGGCAATGAAAAGAAGAGACAACGCGGTTTGAAAGAACCGGCACAGGTACTCTTCGTTAACCCTCATTCCTTACGCGCCCTCAATCCCTATCTGATATCATTTTCGTAGACGCCAGGCATGTAAAGTCAAGAAAATGAGAAGAAAAAAGTTGGCCAGGTGGCCCCATGTTGAGCAAAGAAGATCGTAAAGTACGATGATGCGTAACGTACATTGAGAATCGAAATGAAGAGAAAAAGAAAACAGTTGCTGTAGACGTGGTCTAGGGGGCTACGTCTTCTGCCACCTCACTAGATACGAGTGCTTGCCAACGAAGACATGCCGGGATTCCTCATACCCGCGAACGATGTAGAAGCGTGCCATATCCGTTCATCACATAGCTTAGGGCTTAGACAGTAACGCGCTTCTCGCCCTTGGGCTTAAGAACGTTGTCGCCGTAACGGCCGCCAAAGTTACCTGCAAAGTTAGCGATGGTTCACATCATCAGCATATGAATGGGACTTACCCTGAGGGTTGTAGTTGCAGACGGTGTACCAAGAGGGGAAGCTGAGAACAGTTCCGGCAGGGCACTTGACAGTGGCGCAGCCGACCTTGGTGGAGTCCTTCCAGACAACCTGAGTGAAGTGACCGTAGAGGTCGATGTTCATATCCTCAGGAGGGTTCTCCTGGCCGTAGAAAGCCCAGTTGCCCATCTCGTTGTTGTACCACTGGTTGGTAATACCACCAGCAGCAGCCTTGTTCTTGAGACCATCAATGTCGCTAGTGGCACCCCAAGAAGCGAGGTTCTGGCCGTAGCCGCCATTGCCCTGCTTCCTAAAAATGTGTCAGTGATCAAATCATTCATCACATGTGTTGTTGCCTTACATGTCGTGCTCGAAAACACAACCGTTGGCAGTGTTCTCGGCATAGCCTGCAAGCTCATCATCCCATTCAAGGGCAGTGGCAGAGTGGTTAAGGCGGTGGATGTTGTGGTAGGCAAGCATAACAGTGTTATAGGCACCATCCAGAGAGAGGTCATCACCGCTGCTGGCAGGGACCTCAACCTTGGGTTCGGCAACCTCAGTGGGCTTAGCGACAACCTTTTCAACGGTAGTCTTGGGCTTCTCGACAACGGGGGCAGGAGACTCATAGACCTTCTCCTTGGTAGGCTCAGGCTGGGGCTCGACAGTAACGACCGTAACTTTGGGAGCCTCCTTGGTGGTGGAGGGCTTGTTGGCAGGCTTCTTGACCTTCTTGGGCTTCGCAGCCTCCTTGGTGGTTGAGGGAGCTTTATACTCGGGAGCAGGAGCTTCCATGAACACAACGCCAGTGGGCTTTGTGGCCGCAGGAGCCGTGGTTTCGGGCTCCTCGCCAGCAACAACAGTGACGGTAACAACCTCGTAGACCCACTCGGTCTTCATCTCTCGCTTCTCAATCTCTCTCTTCTCGAGAGCATTTCGAATAGGGCTGGCCGAAGCCAAGATGGCGCTAGCGCCGAGGAGGAACATAGACGCCTTCATGGTGATCGGTGAAGAGGCACAAGACGGAATGGGGTGAGCTGGAAATAGAGTCAGTTATATAAGCTTGAGAGGTATTAGGTGTGGCTGTTTTCAGTTGAGCAAACGTCAGACCAATGCCGCTTGGCAATAGCTGTTTCCGTGTCTTTGATGAATGCGACGAGGCTAAGATGTAGAGAGGGTGGAATGGTGTCTCTTGTGGGGAATGTTTGGACGAGAACGTGTAAGACATTTGGTGTTGAGACAATTTCGTGTGAACGGGATGAAGTAAACATCGATATATCGAGTTGAAGGGGTTTCCCTTGCTGAATATTTAAGGGACTCATCGCTGCTATCGATTATGGTGACCAAAAACATGGCTCTGCTTCGGCGATGCTCTGTCGAGGACAATGCCGAGTCGGTGTTGTGAAAGGGAGGATATCGTAAAGACTCCCTCAAAGACTGGGGTTGGTGGAGAACAAGGCGAGACAAAGAGGGCGGACGAAGATAATGGATGCAGGTACAGAAATGCAGGGTTCACACAATAGTGGTTCAGATTATGCTTACCTTTTTGTTGTGGGTAGTGTCTGTAGATAGACTTGACGTTGGATTTGATTCAGAACCAGTCTGGTGAGCGGTTGACAGCACTGCTGAAGTTGAGATTCCCTCTAGGAGCCTCGAAAGAGTTTTGGTGTGGTTGAACAACGACTGAAGTTCAAAAATTGAAGGAGTGACAGAAGGATGAACCGAAGGAAGGACGACTTGATCAGCTTTACTTTGCGATACCGAAAGGTGAGGTCAAGAAGGTGAGGGAGGTCTTGGGACTATATCAACGGTTCAACCGGAGGCTTGGCTTTAAAGGTTTGGTTTTGAAGGAGTGGACTGCAATGTCGTAGACACGCAAACAAAGGAGTGGCAGGCCCTGCTATCGTTCGACGAAGACTCTTGGAGGGGGGTGAGGGAGAGGGAAGAAGAGTCGAGATGGCTTCGGAGCGGACGACGACGTTAAAAAGGAACTGCTCGGCGGGTCGCAGACGGACAGCCACTGTTAGCCCAGGGGCGATTGGCTAGGTGGTGCGGTATTGATTGGATGCTTTGCAGGGGGTATCTGGGGATCTCGCGAGCCTGCAATCGAGTTTGAGCTGGGGTGTGGTGCAGGGGACGAGGCCAGGGGTGTCGTTCGAGGACGAACTTACTATCAGAGTAGAGAGCGGCAACAGCGAGAAGCTGTTAGTGCAAGACGAACGAATGAGTGTGAATGCGAATAAAGTGAGCGTGTAGTGGATAGTTGAGAAGAAAGAAAGCGGAGAAGGAAATTCATTTTGAGGGAAAGTGAAGGAAGGTCCCAAGAAGAGATGAGGCTGCCAATGTTTTGGCTACGATGCGGTGCGCTTGCAGTGCGTTGCCAAGGGCCGTCGCAGCTGGCAAGCACTGACAGTGACGCTGCTGTCCTTCCTCCCGTCTGTTGTTGTTGTCCTAGGCAGTCGGTTGTTAAAATGACCCCTGGAACGCGGGCTGGATCCCGCTAGTGCCTCAAGCCAGTGGAGGGGTGCGTTAGACTGGGCGCTAGAAGAATGGCGGGAATGGATGCTGCAAGGCACCCAGGAACGAATCATGCATCAGTCCAGTGCCTTGAACTGGGCGGGAGGCATTGATGAGCGTGGCTTTGACATGTAGCGCTGTGATATTGAAATCCAGGCCCAGTGGCATACACGCTCAACGGCATTGATTGACATTCTACAGTCTCATGGAACCCTCATTTTTACAGCTATTGACTGCTATCTACTGAATAACTCGACGTTCACACTATTATTCACAGCGCAAGCCAATCGCCTCGAGGATGATACATATCTTCGGCGTATGGCAGACGCACGGGCCTTGAGCCACGATGATGAAACTCGTGGCTTACTCGATCTCATTTTGCGTGGTGTCGCAGTGAGAGAAGTACCTAATGCAGGTACCGTCCAGTTTTCCATCAGGAGGCGTCAATGCTGCGCACACAGGCATCGGTCCAACTGTCCAACCCCACGACTGCCGCTGATCGACTGCCGCTGATTGACTGCACCACCGATACATCATAATCGCAACCCAGTGACTTGGTAGAAACATATCAGTTTCAATGGGACGATCGCACATATCTACGTGATATCTATGTACAAAATTTTGTCTTCTGCGGCATAGCATTGCAGCATTACATTGCAGCGCCAGCATTGACTTCATAGGCGGTCAACTAATCAAATCAACACACGATCCAGGATTGGGACCCTTGCTATGCTCAAACACAGTGGAAAAAGAGTAATCAACAGGTTCAGATCATAACAGACCTGGCCCTGGCTCAAGGTAATTACCAGTCATTTCAGCTCTGGCTGTGTCTTCGGCTGTTGGGCGTTTGATGCTGGGTTTGACAGTGGTGAGGCAGGCTGTTGGTGTTGGCGTTGCTCATTGACGTAGCATCCGTCCCCTCATTTCATATCCGGTTCTTTTCCTTTCGAATGCCGGGCTATCCCATCCCCCGGTCTCATCATAACCAACTAATAAACGAGACGATTGACTTTGCTCTGTGTTGAAACCTTGTCGGGTTCAACAGTCCAGACTCGATTGAAGCTCAACTCTTTGCTCATCATTTCCTGTCCAAATGATCCCCACTCATCCCCCACTGGTGATTATGCTGGAGTAAAAGGTTAGAGAATGCTTCGCAAAGCTTGGCCTGCTTGCGTGGACATGAAAGCCACGTCGGAAGCCAAAGCCAAGTCTCAAGCCCCCCGGGATTGGTCAATTTCAATGGTGAGCATTTTATTGTACTACATGCGTATTGACCCGTAGCTTTGTGGGGATGGGTCTAGAGTCAATACACTTTGCACTTACACCATAGATTTTGAGGGTCCATTGACTTCCGGATGCAGAGTCATACTAGAACCTGACGGGAAGGAATACTACCTACTACGAGATCAAGATCATGTTAACAGTGAGGGTTTGTATTATGCCGGATCGTACACCTACACATACGCACGGGTTTGTATGTGATGAAACGACAATATGTCAGTATTAACAAATACGAAACGCATTCCTACCTGGCCTTAGCCATCATCTCTCTTCGCACCCACTGCATTGATTTTGATTCTGTAAGAGGCAAGCTGAGCTGAGCAATTGGTTGATGAAGGGTACGTACCTCTCCACCCCTTTTTCACCGTCCCTTGCAGAAGTCAATGTGGCGCGTGCTCTGACGATCCATCTCCGATGGACATGGCCAATCAAAGTCGCAATTGTCGACCTCATCTCCATCAAACAAGCTATTCAAGGGTGGTGTAGCGGGCTGTTGTGGGGCTACCCTGCAGCTGCATGTCCGAAAGCCCGCTAATAAACCCGGCTCTTGTCTTCCCCATGCGCTTCCAGCATATCTGAAACTGAGCTAATTAGAGGTGACTGTTCTGCTCCGTTCTTCATCTCCCATCCAAGGCCTCACTTTTCCTTTCTGATACTACCAAATACTGAGAGCATTTTATCATCTGATGTCAAACTGGCATATGCCAATTCATCCTTGTAAGTCATTTAAATAGTCGAAAACATGCTCAATTTCGTGAGCCGTCATTCTTTTACAGCCACGGACACTTCGGCTCGTTGTTGGTCTCTCTGTATGTCATCCTGGACAGTTCCACAGTCGAAGGAGATTGGCGTGTCACAGAATGATTGCCTCTGCTTCAGAGTTTAGAGCTATGGATATGCATTCGATGGTCTTGAGAGTAGGTCGGTAGGTGACGATTGATATCTGGAACCCAACACTTGGACAACTCGAAGTTGGTAGCTACCTCCGGGTCATATTATCAATGGCTTTCTAGCAGGCCACTGAAACAATAAACTGATCGTCACTGATCATCAGAGTTCGGCTTTGTTAACTTACACATGATCCCTTGATCGGCCGTACTACCTTACTTTATGAATTATCAATCTACCTCTAAGTTGTACTTTTCACACCCCTCTCGTCATCTCTCTCTCTCTCTCTCTACTCCTCCCTTTGAGCTCAGCCATCAACGCATTTGTCTTAAAACCATTGAGTCGATCACAGCGACTCAAGACCGACTTCCGAGCTTAGACGGCATGACACGCAATCCACAACTTTTCCATGTTCTAGCAAGAAAGGGAACAGTGATTCCCATCGGAGAAAGCATCCGACACTGTGGCGCTCAACTTCATTCCTTCAGTGCACCTCGGACAACTTTATCCTCGCTTCTAAACCAAAACCATAATCTTTAGTTCACTCGTGGCTCTGCTAGAGTTCGAGTATTACGTGGCCGACTTCCTAGAGCTGTATCGATTAGGAAGCCCAGCCTTGTCACCGGCGGCACCGAATTCGTCTATCGAGTTTCAAGCCTGCCCTGTTGACGATGATGCTCGGTAGTTCCGGGCCTAGGATCAGCAAGTGGAGGCTGAAGTTCTACGGTCTAACATCACTGAACTGAAGATATATGTAAGCATCGATATAGATATTGGCAGCCTTCAAACTTTGATCTGAACAAGCAATTTAGCTGGAACTTTCAAGTTGCTTTGCTGATCGATCTTGGTCCACATGAAAGCACAGATCATTCTAGACTACTTCTCGTTACATCCAGTACCCGATATCCTGGGTCTATCCTGGGTTCTAGTCCTCAATTCTCCACATGTCTCCTTCATTCTCTGTCACGCGTGATATCTTACCACTTTAGTCACCGCTTCGAGCAAATGGATGAGATATCTCTTCTCGCAAGTAAGGCCTGTCCAATGTGGCCTCCTTTATCCCGCGTCTCAGGTCCGGATTTATTCCCATTGTTTCGTATATATTCAATGTCGCTGCTATTACCGGCGCTACCATAGCGACCTGAGTGGCCTGCTGATCCTTCGACACAATCAACGTGGTGGCATGGACTGAACTTCACCTCTCGTTTATCTCTTGTGGCCCTCAGTCAAACCGTGCGCCCGGTCTTGATTCTAAACTCCAATTCGTCTGATTTCCCGGCTAACCACCTAGGTAGCTATTTTTACTCTGATCGGTACAAACTTCACAGATCTTCAGCATGTCTCCATTTCTACAAGTTGACATGCCTACCCTATAGTTCAGGGCTGAGTATTAGAATGTCTCATTTTCAATCACTAATACAGTAATTACTTGCCCTAAAATGCTATGCTTTGGCTCGTGTTGTCGAGCAAAATGCAGAAAGAATACAAGCTCGTACACATGGGTGCAATCCAGCTAGAGCTCTTGTATTTTCCTTGTCTTTGCGAGTTGATGAATTCTCCTCAACATCGTCAATATGTCTTCAGACTTGTCGAGATCCAATAAACTAAGAGTTCCTTATGGTACCTTACCCATGTTATATGATCTTGCTGTGTTTCTTCTAGTTAGGAACTGGGGCGGCAGAACAACACCAAGCTTGGCATCACCACTCAGGGTGTGACATTCCGGGTCAACGTTTAAAGGACAGGACGATCAAACCACCACACAAGCACACCACCAAACACAAACACCCCTAGAAACCTGTGACGCACAAAGAAAAGAAGCCGTGGTACTCGGACACTGTGGCACTACTATGTACGTTGCTTAGAGACAGGGCCGATCGGTTCGGCGACATGCAACCACGACATGGTACAACATTGCCCTGACTTCTCGAAGCAAACTTGTACAATCTCGTGAACCCCTCTAAAACGGCCCTGAGAAAAAACCAAGACAAGATTCTCAGAAATGTTTCTTTGTTGGCGGCCTTTATGAAGGCCAGAGGGGATGTAGATGATGTCAGCCAACCAACAATGTGACCCATTCTGAACATCAAACATGGGCGCTTGAAAGGCCCGTTTCTTGTTTCACGAAGCACACAAGCGCCGAAAATTGAGAAACAAAACACCTAAAGTATGATGATGCAAGGGCCAGCTCTGGCATTCATGCTGTTCTGCACTTGTGCCAGAGTTTCCTACTCTACCTAAGGAGCAGTTTGCTTAAGTATGAAGAAGCCCATTTTGATAGACTTGAGCTTGGCCATATCAGGCTCAATTTACAGTATCAAGAGCCTAACTCCTAATTCGTGCCTCGCTTAATAGACGAACCTCTACTCAGCCAGCGAAGCAGGTTTCCAATGTATGTCCCCCCCACAGCTTGAATGTGTCGGTTCCAGCAGGTTTCTGCCCCCCAGCCCAAGCCAATCGACCTCTCTGCTGGCCGACTTTTACTCGAAACGAAACGGGTTGTTGCATGATAACAGTTACGCTGCCTGAACGAGTTTAGATGAGGCCGAAACAAAGGATCCCGCTAAAAGGCCAGCAGTACATAAATAACATGATCATGTGCATGGTCTGGGGCATATGTGAGATTGTGCGACTCCAAGGGCCAGTCACCGACAAGAAAGACCTACTGTAGGTTCAAATTTGTAACCATATTCATACATGCGGCTCAAGGAGCATGCTTGTTGCATATCAAATGCCACTACTACAAGTCCAGCCTTTGGCCTCTTGCCAAAGTCCGTATTGGTCACTCAAAAAAGGTGTGGCGATGTGCTCAGCAGCTCCTTTAGATGTGGTCGGTCGGTCTCATATATCGTGACCATATACCTCTGCCCATTAAATCTCGATCTCGTCATGTGGTCTACACCAGATCATAAAAAGGACATACCGAATTGTGGCTCCACGGCTTAGCTGAACTGTGGTGTTGTTGGTAACTTCCCTCATATGTCTTGGAGTGCCGTGTATCGAGCGTTTAAGGCTTGCTGCATGATGCTGCAGGTTCTGTTACGTTTGGGGACTGCAATGTTGTGAACAGCAACTTGTGCTTATATGCTTAATCTGCCTGGAGTTAGAGACGATATGCTGGGAGACAGAGCTTGCATAGCTCGTAAGAATGCGCTACAATAATATCTCAGGGTAGCACCTATTGATGTTGAGATGACGACTCATGGGTAAAATGTCGCCGCAAGTCAATATATTGCTTGGCTTGGTGGATGATGTGAATGAGACTGTAGTGAATCGAACATGGGACCTGAAGGTTAGTAGTCAATAATATATGACACCGCATGTGAGCAAACGGATTTTGATTTGATAGCTGGTAGTTCTCTCTTTGATTCATCGACAAATATACATGACCGAGCCTCGATCTTAATAAATTCCAGCGCTTTATTGTTGCGCATCCTCCTGCCCCGGAACGAATGGCTTGCCGTCTCCAGGCCCGATGCGTACATCGGCAAAGATCTGCTTTGGTCGAAGGTGAACAGGGGTAGAGTTCGTTGGCTGATCGGGGATCTTCTTCTCGAGTTTCTATGTGCTGTATTAGAACCTTCATCTAAAGTGATGGACCATGGCTGTCGTACCAGATTGTCGTAGACGCACTTGTTGAGCTTCCACTCAGCAGGACGGCACTGCCACAACTGGTGATTTCGGTCGTCGAGGCACTCCCAGTGCTTGCGGAACTCAGCCAGGCAGTGGGTGTTGATGTCCTTAATACTATTGATCGTGTCAGTGGCTGGCCCCGGCCTTGAAGCATATTGCGCTCCAGGAATACCACCAGACTGTACGGTCCGCTGAATTTTAGATGACATACACGCTGGAGGCACATCGGGTAACTCGTCGGCCCTCCTTCAAGCACTCAAGCTCTCCTCGGCCAGGGTTCTCGTTCTTGCATTGCATATAATCATCATTGTAGTCGCGGCATCGAGCACCGATGAAAAAGGAGGCCGAGAGGAGAGGAGCAGAACTGGCACCGACCTCCTTAACGGCGGGAATATCGGCGGGCAACGGAGTGGTGTCGATGAGCACCTGCTGGGAGAATCTGATGGATTGATTAGTTAGCCAATTATCAGCTGTTATAGAACTCAATTGCATCCGCTGGGAGCTTCAGAGCAAAGACAAGAAAGTCAGCTGTCGAATGAACATACTGGGGCCTTCGGGTAGACATGATGCCGGTATTCTGCGAAGCTCGTCGTCAAACGTTGCGGTGATTCCAGAATCCGGAAGTGGTTATGTGAGGTCGTTCGGCTAGGATTTGGTAGCGTAAGGTAGGAATTGACTGATTGTGATTGGTGGTTCGGTGAAGCGAGGCTGGGCGCAAGGCTGCAACGGGGCTCAAGGTGAGAGTAGCTCTGTTTTCGCGTCGCCAGCTCCAATAATTTTAAGCCGCCAAATAAACACAGCAAACAATCGAACAACCACATTTTCAGTCTTACAGCCCCGATAAAGCTTGATTACGACAACCATACAGTCGCGCAACGGAATCAGTATCATATTGAGCTGCCAGCTACTTATTTCGACCGGGTTTCGTCTCGGCAACGCATCTCATCAGTTCAAGCTTAGCTTGCCGACCGACAGCTCCCGATTTAGACATCGCAACCCCATCACCAACCATGTCGCTCTTCGGACAGGCTAAGCCTTCGTTGTTCGGGCAGTCGCAGCCCGCTCAGACAACTGCGCCGACTCAGAGCACAGGATTCGGTCTAGGCCAGCCTCAACAACAGCAACAAGGCAACACACTCGGCGCATCGATTCAGCAACCACAGCCGCAACAGATGCCAGCTCTATCTCAATCGCAAGCTCAGCTTTCAAACTCGCTATGGCAGCCTGGAAAGGAAACACCGCGTATGTTATCAAGTAAGAGTTGTTCTCGTACATCGCAAGACTGACCCCTGCATAGACCAGAAGCCGATTCTGGAGCAAATGAAGCTTGTTACCGAGAAATGGGACCCTGCGAACCCCAACTGCGTCTTCAAATACTATTTCTACAACAAGGTTGATGAGAGCCACGTTCCTTACTACAAGCCTCAACCTCACGAAGACCCTCGGGAATGGGAGGAAGCCCTGCAGAACAAGCCGGCCCCAGGTTTCATGCCCGTTCTTTGTTCCGGCTACGCTGGCGTTGCCGACCGCCTCAAGACGCAAAAGCGCGCCGTTGCCGACTTCAACACTCGTCTCCACCAGATCAACGGCAGCCTGGATGCCATTCTACAGCGTCACGAGCTCGAAACTGAGGTTCGCGCTGTCGCAGCCCGCCGACGACAGACAACAATTAGTGAAAGATGCCTAGCACTTGCTGCGCGGATACAAGTGCTCCGCAACCGTGGCTATGCACTAAGTGGTGATGAAGATGACCTGAGCAGCCGACTGCAGACTCTGGAGCGAGAAGTCCAGGACCCTGCTGTTGGAGCAAGAGAGGAAGAACTATGGAGCCGACTCATTGTGTTGCGAGGATATGCTGATCAGCTCAGCAAGGAGCTGGATAAGCCTACCGGTGCTGAGGGAGAGAGCATTGACCCAGAGCGAGAAGCCAAAGCAAAACGAGTAAGTGGGCGGATATACCACGCTACAAACAAGCCGGCTAACCCCTTCCTAGGTGCTTGAGGACTATGAGAAGCAGATCCAGCATATCAAGAAAGAGCTTGAGGCTCTATCGACAGATTATGCAGAGTGGGAGAAGACCAAGAACCCACACTCAAAATAGATGGAACTTAATCAGGGCACACGGTTTAGCGACAAAGGTGGTAAAGACGAAGCAATTGTCTTTTGTTAGGATGTATATTGGTGACATAGAGTCGGAGTCAGGACTGGGTATTCATCCTAGGCGTCATAGGATAAGAAACGTAATTCTTTGTAAAGTCTAAGAGTAATATCGACATAGCAAGTGATATCTTTACTTGGGTTTATGAAGTGGGAACGCATATAGTGCAATTTGATGTCGTGAGTGATGTTGCTGCGCGGCTTTTACCACGTCCAGGGGTATGTATTTTTACAGATTAATCATGACTTCCCGCCCGTCCCATCTAAACCGGTTCTATTGTACATGGCGTGGCGGAAGCACCATCGACCGAATTTCTGCAGGCTCATAACACTATCAAGACAACACCAACAGATTCATAGTCGTAAACGGTGTTTTTGGTGTTTAAAAGATCTTGCCGACGAGGTCGATAGCGAAGGGGGCTAGGAGCCTGATTAGCACCACTCATCTTAAATCAGGAAAATCCACCAAACGTACAGAGGTAGAGGAGGACAACAGTGGTGATGGCACCTTGGACTGTAAAGGCAGCATCGGCCTCAAGAGCACGGATCTCCTCTCGAGACTGCTGAGGGGGGGCGACTGCGATGGATCAGTTTGGTAGTTCGATAACTCAATTGGGGTTTGACGTACATCCTCCAAACATTTTGTATGTGATTTAAGTGGAAAAGAAGAGTTCGGTTGAAGGGCAACGCTCGTTGATAGCTAAATAGACTCGGGTATGATGCTATCTTGTTTCGCTGTCATGGGTCAAAGAATTTTGAACAAGCGCGGTTCAAGTTCTAACAAGCGCTGGCCAATCAGTTACTGCGATTGATGGATCCGAACTCGCAGCTCTTATCGATAAGCCAGGCGTCTATGTTATCACCACTGACCCTTACCTCCACTGATACATCTACCTTAGACAACAAGGGTAATTACTTGAGTATCATAGTAAAACTATTCATGACATTCATCTTGATACCGATCCACAAATTAATCATATTTCATACTATAATTCTAGAATTTCTAGGTTCTCTATCAACGAAGGCCCTCACTCTCATATATATGTGCAGCTACTCGTCGAACTTCCCCTGCAGCTAACATACATTGAATCTAACCAGGTATATGCTGGGAATCAACATTTCACAAAGTGCAGACTACCAGAGCCGTAGCAGCCAATATCCAGGGTATCATCCCTATGATTCTATTCATTGTAATCATAAGATAGCAGAAACGACTTCCGCGTACGCTTTTCTCCTTCTATGTATCATTTCCCAAAACCTTTGATCTTATCAAACACTATGCTTCAAAGACTAGAGCAACACCGTCGTCACCAGCGGTGACAATCCTCTCGCCTGTCTCGCCCTGAACAAAGCCTAAGACACCGCCACCTTCTCCATCACCACGGTGGCCCTTCCATTCCTTTTGCAGACCAGCCTCAGCAGCTGTTGCGGGAGCGTTAGGGTTTGTAGCACCAGCACCTCGGAGGTCCCAGCGGCGTACAACACCGTCCATGCCGCAGCTGGTCAGCTGCCATGAGTTGGGGATGAACTCGAGCTTGACAATGGCATGTTCCTCATGGGCACCAGAGATGTGTCGTCGGACGGCGAAGCGGCGGGTGGCATCGTAAACGACAATAGAGCCGTCCACAGAGCCGGCTGCGAGAAGGGTGGAAGGAGGTGTGTTGGGCGTTGTGACGAGAGCAAGCGACTCGATACTCTCGGATTGGGTGTGCAGAGCGGCGAGAATTTGGCCGCCAGCAGTCGAAGTTGACTGGCCAGTAGTCTTGCCTCCAGCTCGGGCGCGAGCCTGGGGCTGAGGTCCAGAAGGCGCAAGTCGTGGAAGAGAGACAACCTTGATGGCACCAGTGGCACCACCGACGGCGACAAATGCGCCCTTGGGATCAATGGCAAGAGAGTAGAGACCGCCTTCAACCTCGAAACGCTGATCCTCAGCAGTCAGAGCCACAGCAGTCATACCGTTATCACCAACGAGATTCTTGGCAGTAGCCTCACCCCAAACGTCCCAGACGTATAAGCTTCCATCCTCGGAGATAGTAGCTAACAGAAGGCCATCAGGCGTCCAAGCACCAGCGGTACAGGCTCCAGTGTGGAGGAAGTAGGACTGAACGATCTGAAGAGGGTTGGCTTTATCTGTGGGATCAACTGTGTAGACCCAAACCGAACCGTCGGAAGCACCTAGGGCGATGGTGTTGGGGTTGGTGGAAGATGGGCAAGGCGCAATCCAGTTGACCTCAGGCACCTCCTGTGCTTCACCAAGGAAGTCCATCTTGACCGAGCCATCATTCGAGATGGCTGCCTTCCAAGCGCGCAACCTTCCGTCAAGTCCACCACTGACGAGAGCCTCTCCCTGAGGCAGAGTCCATGCGAGTGTGTTCACCGAGTCTGTGTGGCCATCTAGGCTAAATAAAGAGGGAAGCTGGGTGCTCTTTAGGGCGTCTGCGGCGGGGTCGCTCGAGTAACTAGCAGGCAGCGGAGGCCGCGATTGAGCAGAGGCTGTGTTGAAGACCCATCCTGCACCAGGAGCATCATCTTCCTGGCCAGCTGAACCGCCAACTGCGATGATGGAGGGGTGCTTGGGATGCTGGGCGATGGTGAAAAGAGAGTCTTTAGGTTCGTCGAAGTAGCCGATAGAGTCGTTTTGAAGCAGAATCTCCTCATTGTCGGAGTCCATAGCCAGGTCCTCATCTTCGACAATCTCCTCGGCGGCATCCTCCACGGCGAGCATATCATCTTCGAGCTCTTCGTCGACAGGCTCTTTTTGATCGCGGGGGTTAGAAGACGACATGATGGCGGGGTAATTTTATGACGAGGGTACGATGATTGATGTTCGATGAGGGCGATAGAAAGTATAGAAAACAGGAAAGAGTATTAAATGAAAAGAACCAGGAATATACGCTAGGTAACGTATTTAGTTAATAGACGCTCCCTTTAGTTTCCAGTTGTTAGTCGAAGCTTGCTTGATAAGCAGGCAAATGTTTTTTTTTTCTTCAACTTTTTGGTGGTCGTCGGGACAAGGATTTTTTCCCTGACTGCGGGGTGGTGGCGGTCATAACAGTCCGCCTAGCTCTGAACCACCTTGAGGTATGAACTCGATAGGCTTTGATAAATGAATAAATATTAACAGTCATCGCATTAGAGATTACAATTAACAAAAAAAAAAAAAAAAGAAAAAGAAACAAGTGAGCTCTAGCTTAAATAGATAAGTGTTTTTAAAAGGTTTACAAGATGGGCTGTATCGTGTTTCTAACACAAGGTTGAGGCTATGGATGTCCATTTATACACCTGCCAACCTACCTACCTAGTACTTATGATAAATTCTCAGTCGATCACTCTTGATCATAACAATAATAATTTCACACTGGTTCGTGGATAGGGCATAGCATTATCCATCCAGATGCGAATGGAATATTAATGATTTGGAGCAGACAGTTGTGGTTCCTTTCATAACAACCGCCAAACTGCTTGGAAAGGTGTCTATAGTAGTGGCTTCAGGGTG